CCCCAGCAGCTGCACTTGTGCCCGAGGACAGGGAAGGCCCCGTTTCAGACAGTGCCACTCAGCACTGAATGCCTTAAATGCATCCTGCAGCCTGAGACACACAGGAACAGGTACTTTGCAGCCCTCTCTCCTGCATTTTAGCAGTGCTTGGGCTCTTTCAGCCCAAGAAAGCTGCTTTCTTGCAGCTTTCCCTGCAAGTTTCACACGCAGCATCTCTCTGGTGCCAGTCATGATGGTTAGAACTAAATTCATTACATCACCTTTCAAAATGACGGCATCTTTTACATAATTTTAGTGAAATTCTTCTGAGTGGCGAAGTATGAGATACTGAATTTTCTTTCCCCTTGCAACTTGCCGCAAGCAGGTTCAAGAACAGTCATCTGCAGCCTTAGGACCTTGGAGCTCTTTCTCTCGTTTATAAAAATGAATCATTCTTCTCTGGGTTTTGTGCTTGCTACACCTTGTGACTAGACACACTGCTGGCAAACGACATGCACAAAGATAAGAAAATAAAACCATCAAAGAAACACTAAAATCAGTTGGACTTTGCTTGGCAATACTTAAAACCATTATTATCATTATATATCTTATTTGCTCGGGAGATATTTGGAAATCTGCCTAAGATCAGACACTGATCTTAGCCCCAGGTGAGCCCCAGGTGAGCCCCAGCTTCAGTAGGATATGTTGATGTTAATGACATCTTTTTGCCTGCTTAAGGGCAGTGACATGCCCGAATATTTTGCTGATTTGGGAACCAAATACTCAGGAGAAAGGCTGGTGATTTTTTGTTTGGACTAGAACCAAATGATATAGTTAGGGGAAACTATCTAATCTGAACTTAGAGCAGAAACTGTAGGAAGATATGAGAATAACGAAAGATAAAACAGTTACTTTCTGATTTTCATCTATGTAATAGTCTTTTGTGTTTTTTTATTATCTTCTAATTTTATCACAGGTGACAAATGAAGAAATGCATTTGCCTGATATGTCTAAGTTTAACTGCCTTCATATGTCAGTCAAAGAAACTATCAGTAGGGCAGGAATAGGTGGCTGACACAATCATCTCCCCTGATATATTTTTCTTCCCAGCAAGGTTCCCGTTTTGCCTGTTTTGTTTCTGTTGAGATGAGTGGAGAGGCAATACTGAAGGGTACCCGAGCTCACTGCAATATCGAAACATCTCCATCAAAGCCAAGATGAAATATATCCTGCGAAAGAAACGGGCCACAAGATGTTCCAAACAAGCCCATTGAGAACTTTTAATTAACCTTGGGCATGGTCATCCTTCCATATATTAAGATACTCCTGAGCTCACCAATAATGAACATTTGGAATGTGAGGGAGAAAAAGAAAAAAGAAGTCAAGTTGCCTGGGGCAGGAAAGGCTGCCGCCTTGCAGGAAAGCAGCTAGCAATTCAGTACCGGTGCACAGATTATCAAAAAATAAAGCTGGTGCAGAAAGGAAACCCAGAGTTAATATTTGGGGCATCAGTGCACGCATTTTCTGCTGCTGCAACCAGAAGAGGTTGTGCAAACATTAACATATGCCAAGGGAGGCCTCCTCTACCCTTACGGACACAGCACGCGGGACAGGGAGGGGAACGGGCTCTGTTGGCTCTGTGGACACTCCTGCATTTTGCTGTAGCATCTTTCAAGACGGAATTGCTTTGCCTGGAGCTTGGCAGAAACGGCACCATTTTCACACGTGGGAGAGGATGTGCAGACGCTTCAGAGCCCTCTGATGGATCCAACAGTGTCAGGAGCATTTGCAACCATAACTAATGCCAGAGGCTGAAGAACCCTCAGGAGTTGGAAATATTTTAGAGCTACATTTTTTTCACCTTTTCCTTGCCTTTAACTTTCCTTCTCCTTCCTCCCAAATCTTAGCTAAAAAAAAAAAAAAAAATCAAGCTTTGGCTTGGACCAGTTTTGATGAATTTTTAAAACTATGAAACAGGCATGTATATAATATAAACTTTTGGGATACTGTCAGTGTTTATGTAAATTAGTTTATTGATTTTTTTTATCAATTCCCGTGGACAATAAATACAATAAATAATTTTTCTCTTCTCCGTCCTCATCTCCGAGTTTTGGGTTGGTGAAGCTTTCAGCTCTTCAAGCTTTACTTTTCTTAATGGCTTGGTAGGTTTTCAGGATCGTAGTCAGAAATTCCTTCACATTCCCCTTGTCTCTGGACTGGCAACGACTACTGCGCGAGAGGTGCTGCGGTAGAAGAAAGGAGAAAAAAGGCTTTAAATATCCTTGGAGCTAAGTAAGGATTTCAAGCGCTGTTCCCGAAGAGCTGCGTCTTGAGCGGCAAGAGGGGCCATCTGGGGTGTCCTGGAGGATGTGAAACCAGACAGCAGAGCAGTAAGAAACAGCTCATGTCACTGACACGAGCTACGAGAAGCTCCTGCTGCAAAAGGAGCAACGGGGCAGGCGAGCACGGTCGCTGGTTGAGGATGCTGATGGGTGCTTCGTGCCCAAGCATCCTTGAGGAAGACAGAGCTCACCGAGGTCTAAAGCACCACGAAAGGACGTGACCGGCCTGCGCTGAGCCCAGTCTGAAAAGGGGAAATAGCCAAGCAAGGAGATGAAGCTCCGGCCTCGTGTGCGGTGTTTAAGCCTCATGCTTGGAAATGGGGAGTTTGGAGAAGGCACCGGGTGGGAAAAGCCATCTCCAAGCGTCCTCTGCTGAGTTCAGTTGCTTCCCCATGTATCTTCCAACATCATGTCTGGCTTTTGCATAGAAGAGGTGTTAAAACACATCTGAATTTAATCAGACAACTACAGGTATTTAAGCTATCTAAAATAAATAAATAAACTGCTCTGTTTTGAAAAGCTAGATAGCTACAGCAAAGCAAGAAATCTCTTACTCCACAGAACTTTCTCTCCAGCTGAATTTGGAAGGACTGGTTGAGGAGCCGAAGGATCTCCTTGGGCTCCACGTTGTTTTCCATGAGGCGCTCGGTTCCTTCCACAAAGCAGGAGAGCTCGTGGCCAGCCTGTGGAACAGAGAGGGCGTCAGGGAGACCTGCCAGGGCGGAAGAAACACGGATTCCTTCGCCCACGAGAAGTGAGGAGAGCGCAGCAGGAAGGCCCACGAACGCCGCGGCCTTCGGCGGGCCCAGCATCCCCATTCCCTAGGGAGCTGATTCCCAGGGAGCTCCACCAAGTGTCCCGAGCTGCAGATGACCCTGCATGTGCAGGGGGCTTGGACTAGATGATCTCTAGAGGTCCTTTCCAACCTTAAGCATTCTATGATTCTATGTCCAAGTCGAGTCCACCGGGAGCTTGTGCCTGACTCCAGGCTTGACTATTTGCCCTGCAAGGGAGAGCTCCTGCTTCTGCCCCTCGGGAGGAGAAATATCAACCTCTGTTATCACTTGTTGCTCACGTATTAAAAATCTTCCTCATAAACGAAAGCAAAACTTATGCAAGGAGCAAAACAAGTTTCAGCAGAAGTAGTACCTAACTTTCTCTAAGACTTACAGTAACAGAAAAAACAGCATATTTACTTACCTCAGGAATAGGAAGGCATAAACATGACTGAAAATGAAAAGAGTGAGCATTAAAATTCAGCTAGCAGTGAATACGCAGATAAATTGTGATTTAGTCTCACAGTACTCTCAAGGGGGATTTACTCACGCTGGTGGTGGGCTCCTTACATGGGCAATTTACAGAAATTTGATCCTGCACATTTTCACCCTGCATATTCTGAAAGAATAAAGAGGAAGAAGCCAGCATTTACCATCACACAAATTACAAACAAGCATTTTCACTGCATTAAGGTGCTGAAGGTGCACTTACAAGCAGACGATTTGTAAAGCGGATAATTTCGCTGACTTGGCAATAGTGGGCTTGCACAGCGAGCAGCAAAGAGGAGAGGAGCAGGTACGTCAGCATGCTGGCACCCGCGTGCATCTGTCTGATGGGCGAGGGACAGGAGGACACTCCTTTTAATCGAGTCTGCACAAAATTCCCATTCTCACATGGAAAAACCCAATTATAAAACTGATACCAGGTGCCCACTATTTCTTCCCACTAGCTTGGAGAGCATTTTAGAAAAATCAAACGTGGAATTGAGTCACCTACTGCAGTGACTTTTCTTTAGTATCGTGGAAATTCACACGGGCTCCTCAGAAGTGATTAGTTTGAACATTATAATATCACTCCCCAACAGGAAACAATGGTCGAAAATCTTCTACGAAGGCATTTTTTTTTTCAGATGTGGGTTTTGCTTGTGCAAATCGTGGCTCCATGAAGGCAAAGAGACAATAATGTTCGACATCGCCAGAGTTCCTTGGAAGATGCAGAGATGTCCAGCCAGCTTATGGTCTCCTGGGTGCAAAGCAGGACCTTGTGCAAGGGAAGCTCCTAATGCTGCAGGACCCCGATGTCCAACTCAAGGAAAAATGCCCAGGTCCAGAGTGGTGTCTGGAGAAGCTGCCTGGAACTACAGCTCCTGCACCTGGAGCGCAGTCCTGTAGTCCTTGATGCTGGTCTTGCCAATGCAAGATGCACTGATATGAAGATACAGTTCAGGTCCTTTGGGGGTCAGACCAAATACCACAGGCCATGCCACCCTCACCCATCCAAGGAGACAGGACTAGCTGCAGAAATGCTCTTTAAGTGACCAAAAAATATTAGCCTGGAAATTCTGCCAGGCGAAGTCTCCACAGCAGGTTGAACGCTGCAGGTTGCCGTGGCCCTAGCAGTTTTCCTTTGCTTCTCAAGCAGCCTTTGTTGGCATCGCTAGAGCCAACGTTCACCGTGGGGTTTCTCTCAGATCACCCGCGTGGCTGGTAGCCGTCCCTGCCTCCCGGGCCGCCTCGCTGCTCTTCTCTAGAGGCTTCAGGCTCCGGCCTGGCCCGAGGCCGAGCGGGCTGCTCCTGCAAGGAGAAAACACGAGCTCGTCCCTGCGTGCCGGGCCCCGCATGGAGGCAGCTCTGCCCCTGCCAGCCCCGAGCGCCGTCCCCATCTGCAGGCCCCGCTCCAGGCCTCTCCTTTGAGGAGCATCCTGAGCTGATCTTGTGTGGGAAGCGCGCATCCTGATGGGCACGCGCTCCAAAAGGCCCAGGGCAGCAGCTGGGGAAGGGCAGAGCCTTGGCAATCCGGAGCTGGCAGTGGCGGGACCAGCTGTGCGTTGGATTCCGTCTTGGCTACCAGAGAAGGGCTAGAAATCACCCACTGGGGATGCAGACTGTGCAGTGCGGCAAAGCGGCTGCCCTCATGGGCAGAAGCCGCTCAGGGTTGGAGCTTCTGGCTCCTGCAAAGCAGCTTTTTCCTCATTCCTAAGTCAGCATGAGCATACAGTACAAGCTGCAGCCATCAGTTTGAAGCATGTATCCCCTAACAAACCATCCTAACCCCTAACAAACCAAGGGAGGTGGGACCTCATGGGATGCTTCTGAGATGGCTGGAGAAGCTGTTTTGGATCATCTGAGAGGACACAATTAACAGGCATCCCAGATCGACCACGCTTGTGCGAGGGCCGTTGTAAAGAGCCGTGGGCAGCGTGGGCCAGGGGACTCTCTGGGCCAGCCAGTGGCCTCAACTCGCTTCTCCTTTTCAAGGAACGTGTGTTTCAAGGCACCAATAGGCTGTGTCATTGCAAGGTTTTTACAAAACTGGGTAACAGACCCAATGCACGGATGGGTCTCTTCACCCAACGAGCAAAGTTGCAGTGAAGCTGTTCTGCAAGTGAAAATAATTAGTGGCATGAACTGTAAATGACAGATATGTGATTACACTCTTCATACATGCCACATAGTTTATATTCCCTGGGCAGCCGATAGCCCAGATCTCATCTATTAAACCTGTCATCCCAGAATGAAAAAGGCCAAGCCTGAATCTCCAGTCACCTGCGAGTCACCCCTTGCTCCTATTGACTCCTGCCCGTGCCTAAACCCCAAAAGGAGAAGATCCGGAGAAGATCTGACCATCTGAATCCAAGTGGCAGAACTCGCAGGGAGCTAAAGGGACTGGCTCGGACAAGTTCGCTTAATGTGACAGCTGGGAAACCGATGACATTTGGGAAAACAGAGAGCTGCTCCTCGCAACGTGAAGCAAAAGGCAAAATGGCTTTTTTATGTGTCTTTAGGCACGAAGAAAGATGAATGGAAGGTTTCATTCATTCATTTCAGTTATTTCTCCCTGAGTTTTGCATGCATACTTCACTAGAGCTAATGCAGTCTGTACTGCTGAAGCCTCCATACAGTGGGGAGAATAAAATCTGCGCTTCCTTAGAATTTTGTTTGTTCCCAGCTGAAACTGTATCCCCAGTTCTCCTTTATGGAAAAAAAAAAGCCATATTTAAAAGAAAATGAGCAATGTGACAGCAGGGAAGATTTGGGATAAGGATTACAAGTGGTCATTTGGGACTGAGAGGGAAACTGCCATTCCCTTTACCCCTTTTTTGTTACTTAAAGAGGGAATTTGGGCACGATTCCCCAGCGAGCCTCGCAGGTCCTCCCTGCGGTCTGCCTCCGCCAGCAGCGCTATCTGTGCAGATTCCATCACCCCTTGACTGCTTGGTGATGTGCTGCTGGTGCTGCTGTTCCTCCAGACTAAACAGGCAACCAGAGAAGCTGCCTTAAACCCGCAGTAAATCAGAAAGCAGCCGCTGGCACAGAGGGCACTTTCTGTTTATTGCTCATAGCAGTCGTGGATTAGGCACGCGAGCAGGTGGCACTGGTTAGAGGGCCTCTTGGGGGAGGTTCTCCTCCAGCATGAAGGGGCTGATCAACGTCCAGGGAAATCACAAGTCTTTTTAGGGGGTTGAACGGATTCTGAGTTGCACCCTGAACAGTTATGACCTATTTTAGTTTTATTAATTGTTTTAATTAATTTTATTTTGAAAGTCTTCATGTTTCGGATGTGAGGATAACAGTACAAAGCTGGGCTAAATTAACAGTTTATAATGAGACATGTTTCCTACTCAACCTTTAATTGGGGCCTAAGGGACCAGCAGTTTATGCTGCTAGAGACTTTTACTTGGTTGTAGAGAACAGTTGCGTTGTGGTGGATTCTCATCCAGGTTTTTATCCCCTTGCATTAAGGGAATTTCAGCTTAGATGAATCACCAAGGATCAGCACTAAATGCAATGATTTCAAGTGAAGCTATAATACATTTCCCTTTAACCTGCCACTCCAGCAAGAGAGAAGCTTTCTTTTTAATATAATTTTTAAACAGCTTTGTTATTTTAAAAGTCTTCATTTTGATGATCAGCTCTGACAACATGTTTTCAAAAACACTTTGCAATTTGTGTGCTAAATAAAAGGCAGCAGATGGGTTTTAGCCCTCATTTCTATGTATCTGATCTTCCCATGTTTCCTCTCTCTTAATCTTTCTGTAAGCAAAAAAAAAAAAAGCAAAGTGTAGAGACAAAATAGATGTTTTGGGCCTGCCACTCAAAAAAGCTAAAACAAATTATTTGCAGCTAAAATCCTAACCTCAAACTGATTAGGGAGGAAGGCGACTGTTTCACTCCACATCCTCCCAGGTTGTAAAAACGCAGCCGCAAAAGGCCCCTTGCCAAAGTGGGCAGCCGCCAAGGTGAAACCCAGAGCTTTTCTGAAGCTTTTTGTTCCCTTTCAAGCTTTGTGGCTGAGAAAATCAGAAGGAAAACGAAGCGCTAGACCCAAGGGTCTGCAATATTGAGCTCAAATGCAAGGGGTGCATTAAACCCCAATAAACAGCCCCTTCCTCGCCAGTGGGAAACCAGAGCTGGGAAGCACTTGCCATGGCCCCGCTGCACTGGGACACTTGGATTTACAGCTCATGGATCTCCATACCTCTTGTGGCTTCCCTATGTGTGCCGGGATGATGTGTATACGCAGCTAAAAAGCAAGGATTTAGGGATTGATCCCTAAACTGGATGGCTGCCAGGGCCAAACCATCCACAACCCGCTGGCCTGGCTCAATGCTCAACCCAACACCCAAAACTCAACCCAAAACTGCAAGATTTCAGCCCAGAAGAGCTATTTGGAAAAGCTGAACACACGAAACTCCATCTACATCACTGTGGTCTTCTACAGGTAGATCCCTTTGGCTCCTCTGGAAACCCTCATCCAATTCCCCATACATTTCTGGTTTATATATAAATACTTCTGACTATAATGCCCTTTTAATGTCTATTGACCAAAAAAGCCACAAGAATCACATAGCAAAGCAAAATTTCCAAATCAGTATTTTTGCCTGCAGTGAGGATAATCAGTATAAATGTTCTTAAGAGCGAATCTGCAACTCGATGTAGTATTTGCATAAAACTCTCTATAATTTGCATTTCTGTAGAAAAGGATTCCCTGCAGATGAAAATCAGAGATGATACACCAGCTTGGTGTAAACTTGCAGTGCACACTTAGCGAGATGCAATAGCTTGCAAAAACCACAATGAAAAGATGCCCTTGATAGTCTAAATTTCCAGAGATAAGGTGCCCTGGAGTATTTTTTTGCTTTCCTTTTAAGGAAAGATGACATGTGCTAACGCAGAAATGATGGAAAACGCAGCCACGCTGATTCCTCCCCAAAACTCCAAACCCCCGCGTAGTAGCGCTGAGTTTGCCCATGACACAGGGATGTAAAACCCAGGGGAGCTCAGGGAAAACTTGAGGCTCTGGCTGTGCCCTGGGGAAGGGGAGAGCGGCCAGGACCCGCCAGGGCTCGTAGCAGGGTCTGGAGGTGACAGAACCCCCGTTGTTTTGGGGGGCTGGAAGCCCTTTATATTAACTAACTAAAACAACTAATGGTGCTCAGGAAATAAAGAAGGTAAAAGAAATGGGGTTTTCTGGAGAAATAGTAAGAATTAAATAAACACTTGCCTTTCCATAGCCAGGAGCCCTGGGAAGCCTCAGTTCTGCTGAGCTGCCCCAAAAGGTCCCGTAGCAAAATCTGCTGGTGCTCCTGGTCTGCTGCAGGACACGGGGACAGGACCAGGCCCATCACCGCAGCCCCTCAGCATCCCACCTGCTCCGAGGGCAACAACAAACAGGTTTGCCGACCAGCTCCACGGGAAGCCACCAAACAGCTTCATCAACATGAATTCTCACACTGGACACGCTCACTGTGCAAAAATACCTGTGAGAAGAAGCCCCAGAAACACCAGTCCTTTGGAGAACAGTATTTTGAATTCAGCCTCCTATGTGGAAATAGCAGGGAAGAGGGACAGACAGGATTTCTTCTGGCAACAGCGCAGGAACAAGGGCATTTCCAATTCAGATAAAAGGCTGCCAGCCTATCAGCTTGGTCCCCAAGCTCTGAAGTCTGCAGGACTTCAAAGGCTGAAGCATTTCCTGCAGCTCCACCTGACACAGATTGCAGTTTGCTGCATGTACAGCTGGCAGAGATTGCAATTTGCTACAGCTGGCAGAGGTGGATGACACTGGGCAGTGAACTAGGAGAACATGCTGGGTGGCAAAATGTCAGTCTGAGGAGCAAACACCCAGGAGAACATCTGGGCGGGACCCTCAGTGCTACGAGTTGTCCCTATTTCATGCAATATTGCAGGCATGGATGCTTGCCAGGATTTTCTCATGGGGAAGCAAAGCTTTTCATGCTGCAGTAACGTTTAGTAAAAGCTCAAGTGTCTGGAAGCACGAAGCCCGGATAACAACACTCTGGCCATACTGGCTTTGCATCTCGCACAATCTGAGAGTTGAGGGAGCTGCAAGTGCATCTTGACAAATGGTCTCCAGAAGTAAGAGGAAAGCAGGAACCAGCAGCAAAGCTCCCAATTCCCTTTTGCTTCTCCTGATGCCAGTTTGAGCACCACCAACATACTCTGTCCTCACTTCAGCATCCCCTTTTGTGGGACTGACAGTGTTCGTACCACAAAACAGAAGAGCTCTCATAGCCTAAGTCCACTCACCCTTCCTTGCTTCTCCTGCTGAGGGGTGACCAGGATGCTGGATTCTGCCCTGAGAGTGGCATTCAGCAGAAGGACGAATGCACAGGACAGAGTGCAAAGCACTTACTCCTTGGCTGCACCACAGCCCTGCACTGCTGAAGCCACTTTGCAGCTTGATTCCACTCTGGAACCCTTCAGAAACCTGTTTGATGGAAGGCGTTTCATGGAAACACATCAATCACAGTTTAATAGAGTGAACGTAGCTGCTGCACCACCATGCGTAATTGCATGAGGAAAGCTGGCTCTTTTCCATAAAGGTTGGCAGGATTTGCTATACTATGTCTCAAGTAGGCCATATGATTGATAAAAGCTTTGAAATCTGGGGATGTAGACTATGAGCTGGTCCAGTCCACAAAGAGGATCTATGCAAGTCCTGAGGTTCTCGTGCCAGGTTCAGCCCCAGGAGATGCCAGCCTTGAAGCACTGGGTGTTCATGACAGGGCAACCTCAGCCTGTGCTCTTTCAATTGCAAATTCCTTGTTTCCTCAAACCCTTTACACTTAGGTGACCCAGGAGTATTCACTGCCGTCTCCATAATTAAAGAGATTTTCACGTTCCTTTCAGAGATTTGTTGATCTACAGTCTGGTAGTCTTGGTGTTCCACCTATACTAACAAAAAAATCATTGATTTAGTCAACGCTTTATATCTTGCAGTGTAAACCTCATCTGGGAACACTGAGACCTCCTTAAAAAGATATTCTTCTGTTGCACATACAGCACTTCACAGGTTGTTTCAGTAACGTCTGCCTGTAGAGCTGTACTGGGACATGTAGTTTAGGAAAACTGCTTTGGGAATCACTATAGCTGCTTAGATTTTCCCTCATTGTATGCTTTCCCTCATTAATTACCTCTGGAGTCTACCTCTGGCAGGTTACTTTGCACGTTATTCATCCAGGTTGGTAATTATCAGCGTGTGCTGCTATAGCAGTTTGTATAGCCCACGCTCTGCTCCACCCCGTGATGAGGGCTCTTCCATCAGCAGGGCAATGTGGGCTCATCCTGCAGCAAACAGGGACTTGGGCGTCGAGTGGAGCAAGGGGGAAAAGTTGTTTTCCCGACAGCTTGAGCAAGGGAAGCCAGCGAGCTCCGCATGGACTGTGTCCTCTCCCTGTCCTCGCGGTGGGTGCGGATGCCACCATGTGGCCGAACCCTTTTAATCACTTCCCATTTTATTTTGTTATATTAAAAGCTTCCTTCCCCTGCTGTCCTTCAACACCAGCTGACGCACAGCTCGGACAGAGCACCCGTTATCCCAGTTTGCCCTGAATCCTGAGGATCCTCCTCAAAATTGGTTTCATTGTAGGGAGAAAATCAGGAAAAAATATCATATCACACAGCTCTGTACACATAGGTTGGCACTAAAAGCACAGAACTTAGGGACAGGATAATTCAGATATGCAGCTCATTGCAAACCTCATCATTTTAATCCATTCATACTCCATTTTACATAAAGTCGTTAGATAGCTGAAGCAGTTTATTTGCACTGAAGAAGCCATTTTCCCCAAGTATTATTCCCGGAGTCATCTGATATTACACACCTAGAGAGCATACTTTATGTGTATGTATTAAAATACGCAACATGGAAAGAATGATTTTTTTTCAAATCGGCCAATAACAAATATTTGTGTGAAGGCTCATCCATTTCATACATAACATTTATCCGAACCAGCTCCTCTCGTTCTTGCCAAGTTCAAAGGCACTATGTGAAACCTCCTACCCTACAAGCCCTGAGATGAAGCAACATGAGCTTTGTTTCTGCACCTCTTTAGGGCCTCTTCTGGGGGAAGCGGGTGCTAATTCAGGTCCCAATGAAGAGCAATCCCCACTGCTACAGGAGATCAGGGCACCCATTTCTGAACTTTGCTCTAGAGCCAAGTTTGCAGGTGCTGTCTGCTGGGACGTGGGGATCCTCAATTCCCTTGCCCCCTGTTACAGTTCCTCCATTTCTTGAGGGACAAGGATGTTGGAGTTCCTCTTCCTTCCCTTTTAATGGAGCAAAGCAGAATGGCTAATCCAGGTGTCTTCAGAAACCTTTATTGAGGTTGCTAAAATGGCCATTGATGGGCTCCTTGCCCAGAGCTTTTCTTCTCCAGAGGAAGATGGGGGAACTGTATGTTTTCTACAAGATCCTGTTGTCCCAGGTAGTTCTTCTGTGATGCACTTGGCTCCGCACGCAAGGCTGCTCCCTGCCACCTCTCTGCCAGTGCCACCAGTGTCACTAGTCCCAGTAGAGCTGGTTCTCCCGCTCTTGGCATCAGAAGCCCCATGCTTAGAAAATAAAGCATGGATAAACGAAAGTAGCATAAACAGAAATGATGATGATGATGATGCAAGAATTTGAGAGTAAGTGAAAAGCTGAGGTAGACCAAAAAAGATACCTGGTTCTGCGCCCACATCCTGTGGGTAGGATTGCAACACGTCTGAAGTTGGCCCATATGTTTTGCAGCATATACGGTGGGATAAATCCACATCCCTTAAAGAGGCTTCATTTGGCGGTGGCCTCTGAAGGCTGCTGAGAGATGGCAGCAGAATTTGGCACTTGCCAGGATGGACTGTCAAATCTGAGAAATCAGACTGTCCAGATTCTAGCAAGTCCCTGGAAGTCTACAAGGCAAGTTAAGGGGCAGCTAGCTATATGAAATACAGGCTTGTTTTACTGTTTTCTGAGGAAGTAGGAGCAGTTTACCTTCCACATTTATCATCCTCTTGTTTTCTCAATTTAATTTACAGCTTGGATAACAAACTGTAGTTGACAAAGCCCTCCACATCTTTTAAATTGCGTTAAATTGTGACAAACAACATGGAGAATTTCATTTTGTAAAACAAAAGTACCCAATCATAAGGGTGGAGTCATCCATTTTTTTGGTACTGAAACCAAACTAGGATTTGTTAGGAATCTAGGACTTCCTACATGGAAAGCATCCCCACCCCCAGCATGCCTCCCCCTTTTTTTTTTTTTCTCAAGAGGGGAAGATTCCTGTTTACAAATATACATATATATATATATATCTCCAATATTTTATAGAAGAAGCTTCAGTTGATGACAGATGGTTCATTTTTAAATAGATATCACTCTTCTGCATAAATAAAGCGAGTTGTTCTACTGGCTCAATGGAAACTTCAGCATTGGTGAAAAAGCCCAGTGCAGCTATAGGAATTATTAAGGTGCTTATAGAAAATCGTGTGAAAGATTTAATAATAATAATAATAATAAAGTGTTCTTTGGATTTGGATTGAGCTGGTGCAGGTTTGGAGCTCTCCCGTGGCCAAGTCCATGGCTGAACAGAAAGCGCAGTCCATGAGCTGGAGGTTTCTGTGGCTGCAGGATGCTGAGGCCGTATCCCATGCTGGGAACAGCACCTCACCTCACTGCTGATTTGGCCCAGGAATGTGGCAGAGTGGTCAGGTCTTCTTCGCTACACTTTTGAAATAAGAAAGAAGGAGATTTATAAAGCACCACAGAAAACAGCAAGGACTGCCAAGAATCATTTTGAGTATTTAACTTCTAAAAAAGGTTCTGTAATCAGATATTTGTAATGTTGCTCCTTTACACAATCCTAGGTTTATGAGAGGAAGTCAAGACTCTCTGATAAGGCTTAATTTCAGGGCCTTGTGGATGTATCTATGAAGGAAAGTATAAGGTGCACAAGTGTTAATGAGTGGTATTTCAAAAATTATGAAATATTAGGGAATGTTCTCCTTTCATATTTTCATTTCTGACTCACACCAATCAAGACAATCACAAAAAATCAGAATGACTGGAATGAAATCCCAGAAGACCTGGATTGAAATCGAGCATCTTGGCAGTTTTCCTATCTACACCAAATCCCACAGACCAGAATTTGAAACGTGCTCAACACAAAAAGTTTAGGCACCCAGGTATCAGTTTTCCCTCTGACTTTCAGAAGATCCATACAATTGCAAAGATTTGTTTTCTAATTTTAGTAATGCTAGAGGCTCTTTATGCGCTGACCTGGAGGTTAAGGATTGGTCTCAGTTTGGTCTCTTTTCATTGCTTTGAGAGACAGTTCATAGCCAAGAAACATGGCTGAACTCATTGGAAATCCTCGCACTGCATTGACCGTGATGCCCCTGAAAAAGACCTGTTGGGGATGGAAAAAGGTTAGAGCATGGGAATATGCTGGCTATTTTAAGAAGAGAAAACATTGAACTAAATCACAGTGGAATTCTGAAGAGCAAAATTGTGACTTGCTCAAGAGATCCTCTCACTGCTCCTCTTTGCTAACGTGCGCTCCGGAGGATGGAAACGCAGCAGAATGAGTGTGATATTCATGTGCTCCATAGGGACCACCCTCTAGACCCATCAGCACAGCTGGAATGGGCAGAGGTAACCAACAGTAGCACAGCACGGGTGGAGAACAGAAAATGGGAAATCTAAAATTTCTTCCTGCAAAATGCCACCTGCGGCCGATGCCTCTGGCCCTTTCATGCATCCATGTGGATCATGCTGACAAACCCTCATGTACACAAGAAGGCCATTGCTTTCATCCAGCAACTGCTCCAACTTCTGGGGTTGGGTCTACAGGAGCAGAAGACACTTGGGAAGCAGAGAAGGAGCAGGGGAGCTGTTGCAATCTGGGATCAGCACCTGATTCAAGCAGAATAAGCCACAGGGCGCTTCATCAGCACCATGTGCAGCAAGAAGCAGGCTCCCATCAAAAGACATTCAGAGGTCAGACGCTCCAAACTACCCTCGCAGGGCTCTGTTTCTCCCCGCTGACCACAGAAGAGGGGCAGGAGGAATAACATCAGCGTCTGGATTAGCTCCCTGCAGCACCAACCCTCACGTCCAAGCGCTGTCCGAGCACAGTAGGTGCAAGGCTGCACGCAGGGCTGCCCCATGTGGCTTCAGGAGAGCCTGCCTACAAAACGATGGTCTCTGCAGGCTCATTTCTCCTCAAACACCCCATTAACCAGCCACGCTAGTCACTGGGATCACCACTCTAAACATCAGAATTTCACAAATGATGAATTGATTCACATCAGCAAAACCAAAGCCCTCAAGCTCTTACAAAGGCAAAGTTCCCACAGCTGCCTTAGGAAGGGGTTGAAGAACTTGGCTCCAAGACAGAAAGTCTTTAGATTAAAGGGTCTAACCAGCTCGTCCCCCAAAACGCTGGGCTCACTTGCCACCACCGTACCCTGCGTTCAGTGCAAACGGGGCTGCTGCCGTGTGGCACCGAGGAGCAAAGCATGGACCCTGTGATGGAGTTTGCAACATGAAGCTGGGATATTGTTCACTTGATTTATTAGGGGTGTGTTATTTTGTTTGAAGAGATGAATTCTCTGGGAGGAGATTCAAGCTTTCCATAATGTAGCACATGTCAAAGCCAACTTAAGTAATAATGAAGATTTATGAAGAGCCCAGAGGCACATACTTTTCTCATCAAAACAAGACAGCCACATTTACATTTTTTCATGCACATCAGACAATTACTCTCGCCGCTGAGAATGCTGCTCATATATCCACGAATAAACGAACAGCCAAACCCGGGTTTGCCATTTCTCAGCGATACTCCAGCAGTTCTATATCTCCCAACATGCAGAAAGAGCTTTCCTTGCAAAAAAAGGGTCCAGTCACCTTATTCAGCTACCCCTCAACCCTCCTGCAGGCTTTCCAGGTGCCTGGCAGAAAACCTGGAAGCAGCTCTGACCTCAAGCAAGAGAACCAAGTGCCTCAATTAACTCAGTTTTCACACAGAGCAAGGATGGTGGTGAGGATGAGGATGGAGGGAGAAGGGAGAAAACACATGGAAATGCCCTTTCCAGCTATTCAAAGTCTTAGTGTGAGCTGTGATGCCTGCTTCGATGCTGCTTTAGGAGCACATCCCAGCTCCCCTGCTTTGGGGCACGCTGCTCGGGGGCCACGCAAGCCACAGCTCCTCCAAGGAGCAGCCCACAGTGGCCAAATAGTGCTGAATGCAACTGCGGTCCCTGAAACCAGTGACTTGATGCACCCAGGGCTTTTATCTCGGCAGAGGCAGTCACAGAGGTGAGATTTTCCACTGCTAGCTTATGCTGACTCAGGTTATATCCCCAATTAAACACCCCGACATAAAGTGTTGCTTTACGTTAACAGCCCCAGTAGACTATGACCCCAGGGCTATTGCTTCTGCATTTCTTTAGGCACCTTCTTGCGCTCACCATAATGATTTAGAAAGAAACTGCCCTGGGCTGAGTATTTAGAAATAACTGCCTTCGGTCCCCTCTCATCTGTCTGCAGCTGGGTTTGTGAAAGCCAGTGTATTTCCCAATTGGAAATTCAAAGTCTAATACCCAGATTTTCCTTCAAACACCACTTACTTTCAAGCCCTCACTCCGGTAGCTCTGCAGGATGCAGTCCAGGATCCCTTTGTACCTGTTGTCGTAAACGCCGTCCGCCTGAAGCCGACTCTTCACCACATCCATCGGAGTCGCGGTCCCCCAGGAAATCGCTCCTAGGAAAAGGCAGGCGAGAAAACCCTCCTTATCCTGACACGGATCCTCAGGCTTTGATTGTGCCTGGAGATATCTCAATAACTTCCTGTCTGTGTTTTCTTGGCTGCAGCCCAGGGAACTCAGAAATCCACCTCTCTCCTATCACATCCCACTAGAGGGATTTTCTTATCAGGGCAACACCCGGCTCAGGTAGGGAAGGCACCCGGGAGCAAAGCTCACCCCTTCGGGAAGCAGCGTTGAGGCTTCGGAGGTCGCACCAAAGCCAATTGCACGTGGTGCTCCTGGAGATGCTCCCCGAGCAGCAGCGCTGCTGTCACGGGGGTTCTGGGGGCAAGAGGGAGCGAAGCTTGGGGCAACCCCCAAGGAAATCCTCAAATAACATCGTTGAAAAGCAAATTTTGTGCTGAGAACGCAGAAGAGAAGCTGCTGCACCTTATACAAACAACATCAGGATCCCTGCATCTGGTCCACGTTGGTATTCCAAGAGGGAAGCTCTGCACTGGGATGCCTGCAGCTGCACGGGCCGCCTTGCCTGCCTGGTGCTCGTCTACCACGATCTCTTGCTTAAGTGCAGCCTCGCTGCCTCCCGCTGCTGCTCTGCTCCGGACCCGTCGCGTTGGTGGCACCTCGAGGGCTCCGCGCGCGGCTGGGACGTCCCAGAGCTCCAGGGCTCCGCTCGCGTGCGGGAGGATCGCAGCGTTTGGCAATCCCTGCGCGAGCCCAGCACTGGCCTCCTCCGGGATCCCGCGCTCCGGAGGAGGCAGGGAAACGGGATGGGCTTATTCACCAGGCGGGGGACGTGGCACTGGGCGAGGAAGAGGTTTGGCACCAAGTGCTCTCCCTGGGGCAGCCCCTGAGCAGCCACCCCTGTAGATCTGCCCTGCTAAAAACTGCTGTTATGCCCTAAAAACTTCTGTTTTGGAGAAAGAGCAATTTCTTGGGGGAGGAAAGTAAAAAAAATCCCAAACCGGAGGCTTACCTGCCACGCCGCCTGCTAGCCACACGGAAGAGGGGCTAGGGGAAATGCATCCGTCCGGGGTGATCCATGCACAGAAGAACGCGTAAGGGATGAAATACAGGCAATATCCAGGAACGTCCCTCAGCAGCATCGCTCCCGCGCCCCGGTATATCCCCGTTATCCCTTCTTTCTGCAGGACTGTCCTGAAACAGTGAATGGGGCCTCGGTACACGGGCAGTCCAGGCACAGTGGGCTTCGATGGAATGTTTGCTGGGAGATGAAGGAAAAAGAGGGATACAAGTGTTGGAATAACACACAGCATGATTGAACAGGGTGAGCAGGACGGAGGAGAGGATGCTCACGCGGGAGCTGCTCTTTGCAAACCGAGCTCAGACCAAGTCCAGCTCCTCCGCCTTCCTCAGAGCTGCTTCCACCCACAGCAAATGCCCTCCGAGAGCCGTGGGGCAGAGCCCGACCCGGCTCCAGACACAAATCCCGACGGTCATTGGCCTCCAAGCCCGGCTGGGCAAACAGGCCGCAGACCTGCCCCCGGTACAGCTGTTTCCTCATTGTTGACCCAAATGGGAACGTCAGGAAGCTCCGGGGTGCTGGTGTCACTGGCTAGCAAGGTTGCCCCATTGCCCGGAGCCTTTTGGATGCTCCCACCTGCCGGGATATTCCCTGGCCCTCACCAGCCCCCGTGCAGCCCCAGGCG